TGGGTAAATTGAATCACGACCGAACCCTGTTCTCCCTCATTTGGAATCATTGGTTTTTATAGGGGAATCATCCCCTTTTATGGTCTTAATTCAGGTTAGTGAATTACTATAATTTACCCAGATATGGTGAGAAAGAAATGTAAGTCACTCCATTTGAGTCTGTTTGTGCTGTTTGTTTCTTACTTGATGCCTTCTTTTTTACCATTAGACTAGACTTCAAAGATTTGATCATTCTTCTGCCCATTGAGCCAAGCCTTCAGTGCTTCATTCTTTGTCGTGGCTTCACAAAATTCATCAAAAGACCTCCGATTTTGTTGGTCGGCATCATTCGAAGTGAATATCTTCAGTGATTGTCTCAAGTTCTGTCCCAAGAATTCTTGGGGATACATAGACACTTTCTTTTGGGAACCGAATCCTTAAATTTGCTCATGGCGTATTTTGTGCTGGATACATACGAATGTTACCTTTTCTTTGGCATTGGCCCGTTTTGGTTTTTCAATCAATCCCATATGCTCCCTGTATAGTATATTCACCTACATCACTGGGTGATTTTGTTCAGGGAAATGTTGGGATTCATATACCCCCTGGATCCCCCTGGTAATGACACATTTACTATAAATGGGCAATTGTCAATGGATATGTTATTTATATATATATACATATCTTTTCCATGGTTCGCATCTGGGATAGTTCATGGTGACGGACCGTTGATCCGTTGATCCAAAAAATCATGTTACCGAAGTCTGTGGATCTAAAAATCTCATGTCCCAAATCCATCCAACATTGAGATTACCTTTCGGTGTCATCAAACATGGCGTGCTGAAAAAATGGACTATTTATATGGTTTTCCATGGGTTTAAAACGATTTAATGTGGTTTAATATGGTTTAATATGGATACGTAATCACTGATCAATGGAACATGGACCACTTATCAGTGATTTTCCCATTAAAACCTCCATTCAGTTCGGTTTTTTCCATTGCCATGTTTGATTACCAGAGGGTATCCTATATCAGGCACTGCTGTTGTAAGGCTGTTGTAGGATTATTCCGCATTTGAAGGGTATCAATTGGTAACAACCGCACTATTTTTGTTATCATTTGTCACATGGAGCATCCTGGAGCATTCTCATTTAGCTTGTTGATTTTTCCCAACTATAGGAGTAGTGTACTGGTTATATAATTCCTATATTATAATTCATATAGTGATATATAATTGTTTTTTTTTCCCACATCACTTTTAGTTATCGAAGGAAGTTTAGAAGCTAAGCTTCCGACAATATGGACAGATGGAAAAGCAAGTCAGAAGTGAGAAAGTCAGAAGTGAGAAGAGAAGAGAGTGAGAAGATGCAGGTGCGCGAAAAGGTAGGAAAGTCGCGAAACACTGTGTTTTTCCAGTGTTTTGTGGCTCCGGAGGGTCGAAAAGTAGGCTCGCTAAAGCGGCGGGTGCGGAGACATCTGGGCAGTTGAGAGATGAAAACTTGCACGCGGTTGTGGCGCGAAGCACATTTTGAAGTGAAAAGTGACAAAACACGTCGGGTTCGGGCGACTTTTCGACATTGACATGTTGAAAAAGTGCACGTGCGTGTGGCGCGAAGCACATTTGGAAGTGAAAATGTACAAAACACGTCAGCCTCGGACGACTTTTGGAAGTTGAGCTGTTCAAAAAGTGCACGCGCGTGTGGCGCGAAGCACATTTCGAAGTGAAAAGTGTCAAAACACGTCGGTCTCGGACCACTTTTGGAAGTTGAGATGTGCAAAAAGTGTACGCGCGTGTGGCGCGAAGCACATTTCGCAGTGAAAACGTACAAAACACCTCAGCTTCGCACCACTTTTGGTAGTTGCGATGTCGAAAAAGTGCACGCGCGTGTGGCGCGAAGCACATTTGGAAGTGAAAATGTACAAAACACCTCATTGTCGGACCACTTTTGGACGTTGAGATGTCGAAAAAGTGCACGCGCGTGTGGCGCGAAGCACATTTCGAAGTGAAAATGTACAAAACACCTCATGCTCGGGCCACTTTTGGACGATTCGAAGGCCATCCGATGTCAAAAAAGTGCACGCCGTTGTGGCGCCAAGCACATTTGGAAGTCAAAAGTGTCAAAAACTGAGGGCTTTGAGCCACTTTTGATGTGTCAGTTAACTAACTAACTGAACTAACAACGTAACAACTTAACAACTTAGGAACTTAACAACTTAACAGCTTAACAACTAAACAACTAAACAACTTCACAACTTAATTAGTTAGTTAGTTAGTTAGTTAGTCAGTCAGTTAGTCAGTTAGTCAGTGAGTCAATTCGTCAGTTAGTTAGTTTGTTAGTCAGTCAGTTAGTTAGTCAGTTAGTCAGATAGTCAGTTAGTCAGTCAGTCAGTTAGTCAGTTAGACAGTTAGACAGTTAGACAGTTAATCAGTTAGTCAGTTAGTCAGTGAGTCAGTTAGTTAGTTAGTTAGTCAGTTAGTCAGTTAGTCAGTTAGTCAGTTAGT